TGCGGGGACCCCCGCACCTTACCCTCCCGTTACTGGCTTGTCTTCACTCCGATCTCACGCCGCTCCCTCACCACACACGGACATCTCCTACGCGGGTCCCCGCCACGCTCCTCCACTCTCACCGTGTCGCGCGTCTTCCCCGAGCTGCTTCTGTGTCTCCTGCACTTAATCTCACTCTCCTGTTCTGTCTCCCTCTAAGACTCAGCACTGCTTACTTACATATTAAGACATTTCAGAACAGGGAAGTGTTATTTTAAAAACTGCATAAAACTGGTCTGTGAAAGGAGAAGGTACTTCCTCATGTTTCCAAAGAGCATCTTTCCAAAATCCAGTCTTTTCTTTTTCTTTTTAAGTTTTCATAGGGCATGTGTGCTCTTGAGGGAGAGGGTGTGTGAGAGAGAAGGAGAGTACCCTTCTCACAAGGGAGATGACCACAGTGCACCCCCTTCTCCAGTTTCCCCTTGAGATTTGGGACACAAGAGCATGCACGCCCAGCATGTTTTTCAAGCCACTGGGTCTGGGACTTGAACCACGTCAGCCATGTGGGATCTAGCTGCTTTATGCACCATGCCACTAGCTGGCCTCTATTTCATTCCTTGTGGATATCAGGAATTTCAGACCAGCAATGGCATAGTGGTTATGTTGCTGGACTTCCATGTAGTCAATCACGGTTTGAGGTCCGAATCTGGCGGCTTAACACTCACGCCAGGCACGTGTGCATATATGTCCCGAGAGGAGAGTGGAGGAGAAATCTCATTTCCTGTCTCTCTGGCATGTGCATGCACCCTATAGCAAAAATCTCTCTGGGGAAAAAAAGGAATTTTAATTTATTGTTCTCTCTCTCTTTTTTTTTTTTATTAAATGAGATAGAGACAGCGGAGTTGGGGGAGGGACAGAGATACACATAGGTGTTTTTTGGACAGGGTCTTACTGCAATCCTCTGCCCCTGCAGAGGGGTCTTACTGCAATCTGCCGCCCCAGTTAGCTGGGACACCATGCCAAACCTGTTCAGGTGGGTCTAGAATCCAAACCCAGACCTTCCAGCTTCAGGCAGCAGCATCGTACCGTGTAAGCCACCATAGCTGGGCCAAGAATTCTACTACCTCTAAGTAGAGTAGCATCCAGCTCTTAGAAGCTACTGGGAAAACATGCTGGCCTAAATCTGAGCCTCACAGGCAGTACCCACCTGGGTAGCTACAAAATTAAGGCTGTCCGAGGACGGGCAAAGTGGAAAACAGGCAAGCCGGCTGGTGGGTGATGGGTTTCCTGGGAAGCCCATTATGTGCAGATAGTCCTTATTTATCAAGGACAGCTGAACCTGTAGTTCTTCACAGGATTCCATACTGCCTCTCAAATAGTTCTGTTTTTTTCAAAGATTTTTACCATATATACCCCTGGCTGGCTGACTGTGGGTGGAACTGGAGTTAATGAATGCAGTCCCAAAGCTGGGATCTTTATGGCCCTTCATGAGGGCAATGAAGAACCCGGTCAGAACTGACCATCATGCCACGGGAGGAATCTCCCAGAGGCCATTTCTCAGCACTCCTGGAGGGACAGACATCCTCTTGACCAGGGTCTCTGCTCTTCTGAGTCTCCTCCTGAGCAGTTCTGGTCTGTGAGGCCCATGAGGTTGAGGAAGTGTCTCTGAGCCACCGCCAGACATGGCCGGCGAGAGCTGGACAGTCAGGTGGGGGCAGCCCAGGCAGGAAGCCAGGGTGGCAGGGGTGCCATCCTCACTGCCATACCAAGGGGGCTAAAAAGTTAAGGCCTTCAGCTAACACTGCCTTTAGAATTCGTTTTAGTTTTCCCATGCCACGCGGACTCTTTTCTACTCCCATGTCATCCTGATTGCCTTTAGAAAGCCCTCTGGGACCCCCCAGCGTTTCCCCTTATTAGGAGGCTGTATCCTGGACAAAACCAAGCGGCAGTTTAACCTGTAGGCTCCAGGACAAATTTTCAGAAGTCACCAGATCTTGTTGGAGAAGTACTCAGAGGGGTCCTTCTTTTGGCCATCTGGAATCTCACTGTTCTCTGGGCCGCAGCACGGGTGTCTGCCTCCATCTGGGTGCAGAGCGGCCACTGTCCTCACCACCTCCCCTTGCCCACAAGTCCCAGAGAAGTATGGCGATGCATGGGAGGTCTCCTGACTCCCAGAGCCCAGAGGTACCAGTCCCACCCTTAAATTCCCAACTAGCACCAGGGAACAGGATGGCTCTCAGCTGGGTACTGGGCCATCGGAAAAGTCACTTTCCCATGCAAAAAATGCGTCATGACTTTTCCGACAACCCAGTACTTCAAAAGCCCTGCCAGGGAACATCAAGCCCCACAGGGCAAAGGAGGAAGCTTTTGTGTTCGGGATTCTGATGTCTCAGGATGGCTCTAGGCCTTCCTGGGAAAACCGTAAAATATGAACTGCACTTCTAGAATTTAGCCTATAGAAATAAGAGATGAACACAAGGAGTTACACAGACTACTCATTGCTGTGTTATTTACAGAAGTTAAAAAAAAGTCCAATAATAGACTGATAAATTATGCCATTCTTTTAAAAAGGTATTATTATTATTTTAAAATTTTGCTATAGGATATGTGTGTAAAGGAGAAAGTGAGAAAGCAAGCCACCAGGTCTGGGACTCAAACTGTGGTCAGCCATGTGGGAATCCAGCGCCTTAACCACTACACCACCTGCTGACCCCAGTTATGCTAATTGATGTTGTGGTTTTCCATGTGGTTCTCAGTCCCATGTTCTTAAACATTACTGAATGACTTAAGAAAATGCTTATAGAAATTTAAGTATAAAAAAGTACAATAGTAAAAACCATTGAACCACTGGTCTCTACCTTGGGGGAAAAAATGCATTAAAAGACCTGGGAAGACATTTATCAAAATATTAACCGAGATATTTACCTCGAATCTGGGAAGATATTTATCAAAAAACCACCAGCTCTCTCTGGCTGGTGGAATGAGTGAATTCATTTTTGCTGACTACATATTATCTTTATAGTTAAACACATATTACTTTGATAATCAGAAAAAAAATACGTAACTGTAGGAGTGTCAAAGCTGTTTGGACAGTGCTTCCTATAAAAGCCCCCGGGGGGGTCTTACTGCCCACTGTGACTCGGCAGCTCTGGAGTAGGGTCTGAGAGTGCCTTTCTCGCTCGCTCTCTTTTTTAATTTGCCATAGGGCCCATGTGCTCACCAGAGACAGAGAGGGAGGGGGAGAGAAAGTGGGAAACAAAAAAAGGAAAGTGAGGAAGTTCCCCCATGGGGAATGGTCATGCCGCAATCCCTTCCCTCTCTCTCCCTCCTTCCAGGATTTTGGGCACACATGCATACGTGTCCATTTTTCAAGCTGCTGGGTCCAGGATTAGAACCATGTGGTTTCCCATGTCGGATCCAGTCACCTTAACCACAATGCCACCCCCTGGCCCAAGGTTCTGCATTTCTAACCCAACTGATGTCCATGGACCACACTCTGAATAGCAATGGACCGGAGCATGGCCCAGAGGGGCTAGAGATCACTTTCTTTGTCTGGACTGGGTAACAAAACTGGCCTCCAGCAAGGGCCACTCTCCAGGCTTCAGGCCTTTGCTCTTCGTGGAAATGACAGGGTACCCAGGCCTGATTCAGACATACACGACCCCGCCCCCGGTTCCCAGCCAGAACTGCTCCCCCAGCTGTGTTCTTCTAAAACTCAACATCCACAGGAAGAGCCATGTGGCCAGACCACGAGAGCTGCCAGCACTCCAAGGTCCTGACCACACCATTTGAGGCCAAAGGCCTCTTGTGGAAACTGTCCACGGCCAACTCAGTGGCACCCTCTCACAGAAGACTCCCCCAACCTCCCCAGCCAGACTCCTGGGGCACCTGGCTCAGATCTGGGCTCTTATCTCTTGCTCTATGGGGAATGCCTCAGCCCTCACTCAGACCATGCCCTGTGGGCCCTGCTCTCTCCCATCAGGAGAGCCAAGTGGAGCGTGCTGCCCAGAGCCATGTCTGGGCCAGAGTGGGCTCTAGGTTACCCAGCAAGCACTGGGACTGGCAGGGATGGCTGGACTCTAAAACCGTGGAGGAACGAGAGCAGACTCAGTAAGCTCACGTGGGCGCCTTCCATAGAAAGAACAGCTTGCGTGGTGTGGACACGGGCTGCAGACAGATGGTCCCGCATTCAACCCCCAACTCTGCCATTTAGCTAGCGGGGGTACATGACTCAGGTTCTCGTTCAGCAAAACCCTCCGAGAGAAAAGAAATGAAGGAGCTCTGAGGGGAAGCTGCTGCCCTGCAGCCACCGGGAGGGGTTATTCACAGAGGGCCATGACATTGACAGCAGCCTTCGTGCCCGTGGAAGAAATGCCTGAACACGGATGACCTTCCCCACTGTCCTCGTGGAGAGATTGATCTGGGGGAAAGCCACCTTCTCGTGTTCAGAGCAGACCAAGCGTATGACCACCTGTGGCGTTTCTTTTTCTAGAACACAACCGAGAAGGAAACCTACTGCAGGGCTGCGGCTGTGCTTCAACCGTTCTATGGCCACCATGGGTGTCTCACAGAACCCAAAGTGGCCCGACTCCTGAGAGGACTCAACAGGAACCTCCACTGCCTGGCCCGCTCGGTAAGCTGTGCGGTGTCACTAATTAGCCACTAGCCTGGCTCGTGAAGGACAGCGGTCTCACTCCCACACATGCCCGTGAGCTGGAGCAGGCCACACTGAGTCTTTGGGTTCTGCCCGAGGAGGACGGCCAACGCCTGCAGACGTTGGAGCAGGGCAGAGGCTAGGATCTGCTTTGAATGACCAAGGTGTGGCAAAGACTGCAGAGGGAGAAGCATACCAGCATGGAGGCAGGGTGCCCTGCAGAGCTACCACTGTAAGCCAGGCTAGACGGTGGGCTCTCGGGTAGGATGAGAGCAATGATTAGAGGTGATCAGAGATGAACTAAACTAGAGGGCCGGCACGTGGCACGGTGGTTAAGGTGCTGGGTCCCACATGGCTGCCGGCTGCAGTTCACGTCTCAGACCTGGCAACTAGAGAAACACGCCAGGTGCACGAGCGTGCATGCATAAAATCCCAGGAGGAGAATGGAGAAGGGATGGCGATGTGACCACCCCACTGGGGGGTGACTTCTCACTTTCCTTCTCTCTCTCTCTGGTGAGGGCATGCACTTTAGCAAAAAAAAATAAAAATAAAAAAAATAAAACAAACAAACAAAAACCACAGAGCCAGAAAGAGTTGCTGACAGGTCAGCAGAGAGGAGCTGGTGCTATTTACAGAGATGAAAGACTGGGGGGAAAACAGGCTGCAGGTTGAACAGCAGATCGAGAGTTAAGTTTTGTACCCAGTAAATACCAGATACCTCTCAACAGCCGAGTGGAGATGGTGAAGATGGTTAGAAGAGCCCGAAGCTTAGGGTGAACATCAGAAGAGTCAGAAACTACCATATAAGGCAGTCCTGGGGCCAGCAGGTGGCTGGACTCCTGCGTGGTCGGCTGTAGTTCGAGTTCTGGACATGTCGGCTTGAAACTCATGCCAGGTGCATATATGCATGTGTGCCTCAAATCCCCAGAGGAATGGAGAGGGATTGTGGCGTGGCTGTTCCCCCTAAGGGGTGATTTCTTGCCTTCTGTTTCTCTCTCTTCAGAGAGTATACGCTCCCTATAGGAAAGTTCTCTAAAAAAAAAAAAAAAAATTAAAAATTAAAATAGGAAGTCCTGGGGACCAGCAGTTAGCGTAATGGCTATGTCCCGGACCTGGTGGCTTAAAACTCACGCCGGGTGCGTGTGCGTGCGTGCCCAATATCCCGAGAGGAGAATGGAGAAGGGATTGCGGCATGACCATCCCCCCTGGGGGGTGATTTCTCGCTTTCTGTCTGTGTCTGTCTGGCGAGCACACGCGCCCTTATAGCGAAAACCTCTAAAAAAAAAGGAAGTCCTAAGGTGGATGCTAGTTAAAGCCTGAATGAAAGAGAAAGGAAGAGAGCCAAGGATGAGCCCACAGGCACGCTAACATACACAGGTCAGGGAGAGAGGCTGCAGCAGAGGCTGAGAACTAGCCCCTGAAGAAAAACCAAGCGTGTGGTGCCTCAGAGGCAGGTGAAGATACTTCTAAAGAGGAAGTGACCAATGGTGTCAAACATACCCAAGAGTCAGGCACGGCGAAGACTGAGAATGGCCCTGGGCTTGGCATGATGGAGGCCGTCAGTGATGCTGGTGTGTGTGGAGGGCAGAGGAGAGCCTGACTGGAGCCGCTTCAGTGGCGGACAGGATATGGAGAGGTGAGCAAGGAGGTTCCATGAGAAGGGAAGCTCCTTAGAGCCTGCAGAGAAGTGGAACAAGAGCCGACTGGCAGGTCTAGAGTGAGGCAGGGTGTACATTCAGCATGGTAATGATATGCCAATAGGAGTATATCATTAGCTGGCTCTTGACAATCTGGGAAAGCGGGGACCCACACGGAAGGAGAACTGTGAGAACTGCCTCGTGGGGATGTGAAGAGGGGGACACAGGCTCAGAGAAGCCAGCATGTAGGCGTGATCTGTGGGCAAGGCGCATGGGGGCCACCGACAAGAACAGAGCTTAATCTATATGTGGCCAGGAGAAACGAAGAGTTGTGGGCAGGAGACCAGCTCCGACTGACCATGGAAAGTCACACTTGGGGTGGGGGGAGCAGATGGCAGCTAAGGCGGCTGGATCCCACATAGTTTGAGTCCTGGACTTAGAAGTTCCTGCTAGAAAATACACCAGGCGCATGTAAGTGCATATCCAAAATCCCAGTAGGAGCGTGGAGAAGAGATTGCAGCATGGTCGTGTCCCCTGGGGATGATTTCTCACTCTCTCTCTCCCTGCCATGTGCACATCCCTTATAGCAAAGTCTGGCGAGCAGGGAAAAAAAGAAAAAAAAAAAAGAAAAAAAAGAAACACTCTGCCATTTTCATACCTGAGCCAATACTCAGACCAAGGGGGGTGGGAAATACACACACGAACACACACCCACACACACACACACACACATAAATATGTATGTTATGTCTATACACCAGGGATGATCAGTAGAGAAGGGAGAACTGATAGTTTAGGAGAGAGCAAGGAAAAAGGACAGAAGCTCTTGCAGCCAAGAGTGGATGCCAAAGGACTGGCCTCAGAGAAGAGCAGGAATATTACCCTACCCCCCCATCCCCTTCCCGGGGCCCTCTGCCTTATGTATAGGCAATGAAATAGGGTCCTGACATGACACACATCCTCTGCTTTAATCCTCCTAATTATCTTATGAAGTGGAAACTATTTTTAAAATTCTTTTGTTTATTCATCCATTTCTTCCATGAGAGACAGAGAGACAGGCACACACACCCTACGGCATAACCCAGTCCATCAGTCAATGGTAAAGCTGAGATTTAAACGGAAGCAGTGGCCTGGTGCTCGGTACCTGGAATCCTTTCTACCTTCCATGTGGCTTTGCTGCAGTGTTGCTGTTTAATGGGCAGGAGGGCAACAGGACCGAATCCCCACAGTCCAGGTGGCCATGCAGAAGGCCCAGTATGACCACGGGCAGGTCTGATCCTCTTGCTATTCCTTCTAAGCAGCACCTCGCTGTGACCACCTCTGCACAAACAGTGGTGCCATCCGAAGGTGGACAGGTGGTGGTGGTACCGTAACCATTTCTCAGAGTGTACACAGGGTGTACCCCAAACAAGCAAAGCGTGCTAGCTGGTGGCACGTCAGGCTCCCAATCAACACACCTGGAGGCCGTCGTCTGACTACTGTCCAGGAGGGAAGTGGGCACGATCAAGCAGACGGGCATGATACGAGAAGCAAATGGTACCCGTGTGAGCTAATGGAGTGTTTCTTTTGCAGACCAACTGTTCTGTGCATGAAACGAAGCAGAGTACGCTGAAAGACTTCTTGGAAAAGTTAAAGATGATCATGAAAGAGAAATATTGGAGGAGTTGGAGCTGACTATTTTAACTTATGAGTTTTTAAGTTTTATTTTTAAATTATTTATATATTTATAACTCAAAATAAAATATATGTAGAGTCTAATAACAATGGCAGTGATGCTGTTTACTTGACAGATGAAGCTATGAGTTGCAACTTTTAAGGAAAACAATTTAATTTACTCAGAGACTACAAATGGTGTGGAAGCAAAAATAGGAAAGATCACTTCCCTCTCAAGGAGACCCCTCCCTCACTGGGGATATAATGCACAAAATAACCAAAGGCTGCAAGGCCACACACGATGTAAATAATAAGCGCTTACAGAGGGGTCCCAAAGTCCTACTGACAACCATATACGAGGGCTCTGCAAAACGTTCATGAAACATGTGCTTTACGATAGAACTACACAGGGGTTTCAAGATTATTTTACATCAACGTAAATCCATACTTTAATTCCATTTTCCACCAACTTTTTGAAGTCCCCTCATATTTTTTAATGGTAAAAGCATCAACTGGGGTCAGTTCTGTGGCCTAGTGGTTAAGGAAGCTGGATCCCACATGGCCAACCCTGCAGTTTGATCCCAGACCCAGTAGCTTGAGAAACATGCCAGATGCATGTGCCCAAAATCCCATAAGGAAGGAGAGATGGAAAGAAAAAGGATTATAGCATGTCCATTCCCTACGGGGGGTGCTTTCTCCCCCGCCTATCTCTCTGTCTCTCTCTAGCAAGTACATGTGTCCTCTAGCAAAACAAAACAAAGTGTCAACTGGGGACCATGGTGGCATGGTGATTAAGACAGTGGGATTCCCACATGCTGACCATGGTTCAAGTCCCAGACCCGGTGGCTTGAAAGATCATGCCTAGTGTGTATGCATGCATGCCCAAGATCCCGAGAGGAGAATGGAGAAAAAAGGATTGCAGCATGGACATTACCCCTGGGGGGTAATTTCTCACTTTCTCTCTCTCTGTCTCTCTCCTCTCCAGCAAGCACATGTGCCCTATGGCAAAAACTACCTAACTAACTAACTAACTAAATAAATAGAAACTGTCAACTGGATACTTAGAACATTCTTTTCCTATGGGCACAAGGACTGTTATATACTGAGTCTGTAGAAAGAAATAAACAATCTTCACATACTATTTAGCTCTGCAGTAAACAATATTTAAAAGTATGTAAATTCTCTTGAGTCTCAACTCTTAGGACTAGCCAACAGACAAAGAACAGAAGACTGCCTTATGCTTAGAGAACAGACCCTAAGTGCTGCCTACCTGACGAAATGAATTGTAAGCTGAAAATGGTTGAAAGGTAAAGGCAAAGAAGGACTAGATGGGACATTAATTCCCTAGCTTAGATGTGGGAGGGGGAAGTTAAACAGTGCTGTCTACTACAGAGCCAGTAGGTGGCATGGTGGTTATAGTACTGGATTCCATATGGCTGACCATGGTTTGAGTCCCAGACCCAGTGACTTGAAAATAATGCCAAATGCATGTACTTGGGTTCCCATAATCCCAGGAGGAGAATAGAAAGGAAGGAATTGTGCCATGGCCATCCCCCCCATGGGTGATTTCTTTAAAAAGAGGACAAATAAAAAAATAGTCGGTAGGAATGGTCATGAGGTGGGGCCAGCAGATGGCGTGGTAGTTAAGGTTTTGGAGTCCCACATGGCTGACTGCGGCTCAAGTCCTAGACTTAGGAGCTTAAAAATCATACGGGGTTTGTGTGTGTGTGTGTGTGTGTGTGTGTGGTGGTTATAAGGTGCTGGACTTGCACATGGCTGACTGCAGTTCAAGTCCCAGACCTGGCAGCTTGCTTTCTCACTTTCTCTCTCTCTCTAGCCAAATTGTAAAAATAGTAATGATAATAAATAAAATTAAATAAATAATTTTTTAAAAAAAGAGAAAATCACACTGGATGTGTGGGCATTTATGCCCCAAATCCCAAGACCAGAGTGGAAGAAAAGGGATTACATGATGGCCATCCTCCCGGGTCTGATTTCTCACTTACCCTCTCTGTCTCTCTCCAGCAAAGCCCACATGCCTCATAGCAGAAAACAAAAACAAACAAAAAGAAAGTCATGAGATGATGATTATCATAGCTGGGGTAGGAACATGGGGGCTGAAATGTGCTACTCTAAAGTTTTCTAAAGTTTTAACAATAAAAAGTTTTCATAAAAAAAAAAAAAAGTAAATGCACCAGGAAATCTTGGAAATTATTTTGGCAATCACTAGAAAAAAAATTTTTTTTTAATTAAAAAAAGCAAGATGGTCGCCGGGCGCGTGTGCGTGCGTGCCCAAGATCCCAGGAGGAGAATGGAGGAGAAGGGATTGCGGCGTGACCATCCCCTTGGGGGGTGATTTCTCGCTTTCTGTCTCTCTGTCTCTGTCTGTCTGGCGAGCGCACGCACCCTATAGCGAAAACCTCTCCAAAAAAAAAAAAAAAGCAAGATGGATATAGGACGTGGATTACAGAAGGGTAAAGTAGGATGGGAGACTTGGCTGTCAGGAATAAATCCATGTGTGTGCATGTATGTGGTACCATGAACATAATGATAAATTTTACATGAAAGAAGAAATACAAGGTAAAACGCAGACAATAACAAGTACTGACAAAGGTGTGGAAAAACTGGAACCCTCATACAGAGCTGGTGTAATTGGAAAATGATGCAGCCACTCTGGAAAACAGTGTGGTAAGTCCCCAAAGGTTTAAACATAGCTTATAACCCAGAAATTCTTTAGTTGTGGTTGTTTTTTAGATTTTGCTATAGAGCGCATGCATTCACCAGAGAGAGAAAAAATGAGAAATCACTCCTCAGGGGGATGGCCACATTATAACCCCCCCTTCTCCATTCTTCTCTTGGGATTTTGCACACACACACACACACATGACCAGTGTGATTTTCAAGCTGCTGGATCTGAGACTTGAACTGTGCAGTCAACCGTGTGGGATTCAGCACCTTAACCTCCACACCACCAGTTAACTCTATAACCCAACAATTCCAATCCTAAGCAAACAGCAAAAGAACTGAAAACATATGTTCCCACACTGAAACCTCTACACAAATGTTTGCAGCAACATTATTGATAGTAGCAAAAAACAAAACAAAACAAAAAAACTGCAAATGTCTATCAAGTCATGACTAGATAAGCAAAATGTGGTGTATCCACACAAAGGAATAGTATTTAGCAATAAAATGAAGACTGATATCTGCCACAAAACAGATAACCCTTAGAAACGTGCTAAGTCAAAGGAACCAGATGCGTACGACCACACCATGTGATCCTAATGATACGAAATAGCCAGAATAGGAAAATCCAGAGAGGAAAAAACCAGGAGATTGGTGGCGAGGGGTTGAGGGGATGGAGGAATGGGGAGTGAGGGAGTGTGGGAGTGAGGGAGGGGAAGAAATTTCTCATCTAAGACAGTGATGAGTGATGAGGGGTGCCTGGCTCCACAAGTACCCTAACCACCACTGACTTACACACTTTAAAAGGATGACTTATATCGTATGTGAGTTTTATCTCAATAAAGTTATTATTTAAAAGGAAGGAGCAAAACTCATTGAAACCAAGTGTCAAGTCATCCAGACCTGCCTTTGAAGACAGGCTCTCTGCAAGAACATGGGTCTAGCAGCAGTGACTGAGCGCTCTCTTTTCATCCCTGCTTATGCAGATGTGAGAAAAACGAATACGAGTACTAAAATTACACCAAACATGCAACATCTTTTAACCCTTTCAAAACAAGGGACCAAATCAAAAGCTTAAAGTCTCACCCTGACCACAGCCAGTTTCACCCTGCCCACATAAAATACCAGCATGCCAAGGGCAATACGTAGCGAGGAGAGTCATGGAGGCTTCTAAGGCCTACCGGAGAAGATGCACACTGAAATTGTCAGTGTTCTTTCTTCTCTGAGCCTCATTTGCATTCAATGGCTAATGTGAGCTGTAGTCTGCCACAGGATATGAGTTGCGGGTTACAGTTTGTGTATGAGGCCAGGAGGTAAAGGGAAGGCTGAGAGGAAGAAACACAAAACGGTACCCAAGTCACCCGAGGATGGGGAATGTCAAGGCAAATACGGTGCAGGGGGTGCAGAGGGCGCAGGGGGTGCAGGGGGTGCAGGGAGCGAGGCCCAGCCTGGCCTATCAACACCCGAGGTGAGCTGCTCCATTCTGGCAGGGCCACTGAGGGCAAAGCAGGCCCTTTCTCCAGTCTAGGGACAGATTTCTAAGTCAAATTTATCAGCTCAAGTTGGAGGTCCTTTCCCAGGTGCAGAAATGGAATACCCAGTTAGCGGACATGTCCAGCCTCTCCCGAAAAAGGTTGTACTCTACCTGGTTTGAAAAATGGAGTCACGGAGGGCAAGCAGGGACTCCCTACATAGTACTTCACCTTGAGATTCCCCCATCCTCAGATGATCTGGGTACCCCAAGAGGCTGACTGAGGTAACTATGTAGGAGGGTGAAGAGAAACTGAGGGCAGGGTCAATGGCATGGACAGATGATAGCAACCAGAGAGCCCTGGTGCCTTCTTACCAGACGCAGCATTTCTGATTGTGGTCCGAGAACATTTCAATAAAAGGCAGCTTCTGGTAACAGTAGGTGGTGTGGAGGTTGAGGTGCTGGATCTCACATGGCTGACTGTGGTTCAAGTCTCGGAACTGGTGGAAAATCATGCCAGGTGTGTGGGCGCACATGTCCAAGATGCCCAGAGGAGAATGGAGAAGGGATTAAGGCATGGCCATCCTCCCTGGGAGTGATTTCTCAATTTCCCTCTCACTGTCACACCAGACCACAAGCACCCTAAGGCAAAAAACTCTTAAGGGGACCAGCAGTTAGCATAATGGCTGTGTCGCTGAACTCCCATGTAGTTGACCGTGGTTATAGTCCCGGACCTTGTGACTTAAACTTATGCTGGGCGCATGTGTGTGTGTGCCCAAGATCCCAAGAGGAGAACGGAGGAGAAAAGATTGTGGCGTGGCCACCCCCACTAGGGGGGCATTTCTCGCTTTCTGTCTTTGTCTCT